TACATACATACATACACATACATACACATACATACATACATACATACATACATACATACATACATACATACATACATACATACACAAACATACATACACACACACATATACACACACATACATACACACACATACATACACACACATACATACACACACATACATACATACACACACATACATACACACACATACATACACACACATACATACACACACATACATACACACACATACATACACATACATACATACACATACATACATACACATATATACATACACATATATACACATACATACATATACATATACACATACATACACACATACATGCACATACATACATACATACACTCATACACATACATACATACACACATACATACATACATACATACATACATACATACATACATACATACCTACATACATACATACATACATACATACATACATACATACATACACACACATAAATAACATATACATATACATATACATATACATATACATATACATATACATATACATATACATATACACACACACACACACACACACACACACACACACACACACACACACACACACACACACACACACACACACACACACACACACACACACACACACACACACACACACACACACACACACACACACACACACACACACTCACACTCACACTCACACTCACACTCACACTCACACACTCACACACTCACACACTCACACACTCACACACTCACACACTCACACACTCACACACTCACACGCACTCATATGCGCACACACGCGCTCACACGCGCTCACACGCGCTCACACGCGCTCACACGCGCTCACACGCGCTCACACGCGCGCACACACACACAGACACACACAGTAGTTATTGATCTATTTTTACTGACTTAGATATTGTATAATGTATCCATATAAAATATTTTTTAGACTGATTCATTGACATTGATGTTTATTAGTCTCATTCAGCTCATCCTGTCCTGGTATCACTCGTACAACCCCCGTTCAATCTCCCACAGCCTGGCCAGTCATCAAGCAAGAGCCTGATGCCCATTCTGACCCTGATGGTGGAGATGACGCAGGCCAACCGCACCATCCGCAAGTTCATCCGGCTGCGCATCCTACCCCCCTTAAGGGATGTGAGCAAGAGACCAGAGGAAGGCCACACCATCCGGAACAAACTGTGCTCGCTCATGACCTCTCCCCTGCACGACCTCAAGCACCTCTCGGCAAATTTCTTGTTTATTCTGTGCAAGGAGAGCGGTAAGTTCTTGTTCTCTTTTTTTCTTTTGTGCAAAGGGCTATGATTGGTGTTAATTCATTGATATGTATGAATGTAAAAAGGTATGAATTAGATTGAATGTTTTTTGAGGGCAAGGTGGTGGGCAATTTTACAGTTCATTAGCTTCAGCTCAACTAAAAAAGATGATCTTAAAATGTTTATATTTGTTACTGCTTTATTTTGTTTAAGGATTTAGAATATTGTAAGATGTTTAGATATGAAAATCCCTCACACCCATTCACACTCCACAGTTGACCGGCTGATTAAATACACGGGGTACGGCAATGCAGCTGGTCTCCTTGCCTCTCGTGGCCTTATGCTGGGAGGAAGCAAGCCGACTATCGACTACTCATCAGACTCTGAAGACTCAGACACTGAGGAATATGAACGAGTCAAGGACATGTGGGTGAAATAGTTTTTTGTTTATTCATTCATCATTTTTTTATACATCTCTGTCATAGGAATTTAATCTTTTCTCTTTGCCCTGTGGTCTCTCCATGATCTAAGATTACATTAGTTTGGATTTCAGCGATCAAGGCTGTTAATAGCCAAGTTTATTGATAATTGTGATGACATCAGTATTTACAGTACGCCACTGAAGATGAATAAGATAAAAATTTGACTTTCAGATATAATTACAAGGAAAAGTGTTATAGTGTGTATAGGGTGTAAATTTGGTTTAGTATTTACCATAATAATTCTAATGAACAAAGTATTGTTATCATTTATAATTTACTTGCATTAGATATCGGTGCTATTAAAGACATATTGTATCTGATTGTCGTAATCATACTGTATCTACAGTCCTCTCCTTGGATTTGTTGTCATGAAAGAATAGAATTTAAAATTCCCTCTCCCCCTCTCCCCCTCTCCCCCATATGAAGGATCAACCCAGTTACCGGCCGCTATGAACCCCCTCGGCCATCGCCACTTGATGGAATGACAGATGAACAAAAGGAACACGAGGCCATGAAACTAGTCAATGTGTTGGATAAACTCACCAGGTATTTGATGCATTTTTATCCTTATAATTTTTTACATGCTTTTTATGAGTGGAGTGTGTAGATGGAAAGGTTAAGGAAGAAAGTAAGAGAAGAGTAAATAAGGAATGAGAAATGGGGAAGAGGAATGAAGAGGAAAAAGAAATGAAATAATTTGTAGACTGAGATTGTATGAGTGATTGAGTGAGTGAATGAGTGAGTGAGTGAATGATGAGTGAGTTAGTGAATGAGTGAGTGAGTGAA